ATACTAACAACTGAATGTCTTGATGCTGAAACTAACCATACTAACAACTGAATGTCTTGGTACTGAAACTAATCATACTAACAACTGAATGTCTTGATGCTGAAACTAACCATACTAACAACTGAATGTCTTGGTACTGAAACTAATCATACTAACAACTGAATGTCTTGGTACTAAAACTAATCATACTAACAACTAAATGTCTTGGTACTGAAACTAATCATACTAACAACTGAATGTCTTGGTACTGAAACTAATCATACTAACAACTGAATGTCTTGATACTGAAACTAACCATACTGACAACTGAATGTCTCGATACTGAAACTAACCATACTGACAACTGAATGTCTTGATACTGAAACTAACCATACTGACAACTGAATGTCTTGATACTGAAACTAACCATACTGACAACTGAATGTCTTGATAATTAGTTTCAGTATCAAGACATTCAGTTGTCAGTATGGTTAGTTTCAGTCATACTGACAACTGAATGTCTTGATGCAGGTAACAGTAAAGCTTGAATAGCAGTCAGGTGAACACATGTCAAGTCAACTGTAGAATAGCAAACAATTTAAGTATGTTCATATCGTGCCAGTTGCACAACATAACACAAATATTACACACGCACGTCTGTTTTTTCTTGTTATTATGAAACCGTGTAATTGTAACCGCGTTTTCCAGACAGAATATTTTCCAAATTATAACGCTAGTTTCACGAATTAAAATGAATCCAATGAAAGTCTAACGTTAGGTATTTTGGAGTTGATTACGTTAAGTGTCGTGTTATGTTATACACTAGTAATTAGTTTCCTTAAAATACAATGATATAGAATAACACCGATTACAGAAAGCCATAGACTTCGCTTTCTTATAGTTGGCAACCTGCCAACTATAAGGTAACAGTTGAAGAACAAAATTGTTTTGATTGGTTGGGTTTGTTTTTAGGCGCAAAGTTACACAATGGGCTATCTGTGCTCTGCTCACAATAGATATCGAAACCCAATTTTCAGCTGATTTACCGATGGGGGAGGGGGAGCAATAAAGAATGAAAAAATAAATAGAAGTTTCTCGCATAGCTCCAGTAAAGGCTTTCTGCGCATAGACTAGAGGGAAGGCATCTAGTTAACAGCAGCCACCGCCAACTCTTGGGCTACTCTTTATCTGACCAAATAATGAGATTGGACTGTCACTCTTATAGAGCACCCACGATTCTAAAGAGCGAAGTGCACGTTTGCGGTAACAGGCCGTGAAATTTAACAAACACTGCTGAATGTAACACTATACACATCTGTATACACATTGATAATTAGTGTCCGGCTCGTGAGACCAGACACGCAGTCTATCTACCGACAGTAAACACAGCGACAAACTGAAGTTATTACTATGAATATACTATTGTTTATAACTACGACATTACTGGGCATGAATCCCCGTCACACCAAACATACTCGCCCTTTCAACCGTGGGGGCGTTATAATATGACGGTCAATTCCACTATTCGTTGGTAAAAGAGTAGCCCAAGAGTTGGCGGTGGGTGGTGATGACTAGCTGCCTTCCCTCTAGTCTTACACTAAATTATGGACGGCTAGCGCAGATAGCTCTCGTGTAACTTTGCGCGAAATTCAAAACAGACAAACAATACGACATTATTGTGTGACCTCTTTCCTACAATTGTTACTGAAGTGAGAAGGAAAAAACACTCACCTGGGGGAAACGCCACGGGAACAAAACTACTTACACCAGCCACCATGAATAGGGTTACGTTTGTCAGCCGTCGTCCTACTTTCTCCATGAGATACCAGCAGATAAAGTATGTTGGTAGTTCAACAAGTCCTAACAGAAAGAAGTTGAGGAATTCGTTTCCATAGAGGTTAGTTGCGTTAATTTGTAGAGCATAATAACTTATGGAAGCAGCGATCCTGTAAAATATAAATAAGTCAACAGATGGCAGCAGGAGCTTTGTAAGTTCCTGTAACATTCTAAGTATACATTAAAATATTTCAAATGGAGCAAGTTGTTAAATATACGACCACATGTAGCGTATGGCGGATTAAAAGTATTATCAGATACTCCCCTCCATTCCCTACCCCCACGGTTTCTTCGCTTACCTAGAAAAAACATATTGTTTCAAAGTCACTGACAGACACAATTCGAATCGAAAGTTAAGAATAGGCCACACCCTTGCACCGAAAACGTGTATTGTGATATCTTTATTGGGGTTCCTGTGTTTAACGTGTGTGAATATATATATATGTATACAAATTCGATGACGAGGAACCCACTTTGA